CAACTACAAAAGAAGGGTGTATTCAGCCCACACAAAGGGGACATCTTGAGTACCTAGCTTGGATGATAGGGGAGGCTATGCCACTGGACCCTACCAGACACCTACTATATTAGGCCACACTGCCAAGACACAGAGTCAAAGCAGCTCTACCTAATACGTAGAAACAAACATTTAGCAGGGAGGCTGCCAAAATGAGGAGACAAAGAAACATTGCCCAAATGAAAGAACAGAAGAAAACTCCAGAAAAAGAACTAAACAAAATAGAGATAAGCAATCTACCAGATGCAGAGTTCAAAATAGTTTATAAGGATGCTCAAGGAACTTAGTGAGGACCTTAGCAGCATAAAAAAGACCCAGTCAGAAATGAAGGATACACTAATTGAAACAAAGAAGAATCTACAGGGAAACAACAGTAGAGTGGATGAAGCTAAGAATGAAAATTATTTGGAATGTTAGGAAGATAAAAACAACCATGCAGAACAACAAGAAGAAAAAAACCCCCCAAAATGAAGATAGTATAAACAGCCTCTAGGACAAATTCAAGAGATCCAACATTCACATCATGGGGGTGCCAAAAGAAGAGAAAGAGCAAAAAATAGGAAATCTATATGAAAAAATAATGAAAGAAAACTTCCCTAATTTGATGAAGGAAACAGACATGCAAGTCCAGGAAGCACAGAGTCCAAATTATGATGGATGCAAAGAGGCCTACTCTAAGACACATCATAATTAAAATGCCAAAGATTAAAGATAAAGAGAAACTCTTAAAAGCAGCAAGAGAAAAGAAGTTAGTTACCAGATGGATGACAGATGGAGGAGAGAGGGGAAGAATGGGTGAAGAGGTGAAGGAATTAAGTACAAAGAGGTAGTTATAGAATAGCCATGGGGATGGAAAGTACAGTGTAGGAAATGGAGTAGCCAAAGAACTTATACACATGACCCATGGACATGAACAATGGTGGGGCCTTGCCAGTGGGAGTAGGGTGCACTGGGTGGAGGGGGGCAAAGGGAAAGAGCAGAACAACTATAATAGCATAATCAATAAAACATAATTTAAAAAAAGATAAAGTTGGGCCCTGGCTGGTGTAGCTCAGTGGATTGAGCACGGGCCTGCGAACCAGACAATCGCGGTTCGATTCCCAGTCAGGGCACATGCCAGGGTTGCAGGCAGGTTCCCTGCAGGCCAGTTCCCAGCAGGGGATGCACGAAAGGCAACCATACATTGATGTTTCTCTCCCTCTCTCCTTCTCTTCCCCTCTAAAGATAAATAAATAAAATCTTTAAAAAAAAAAAGATAAAGTTGGAAGGAAAGAGAAGAGGATAAAGGGGCTCAAATATATGGTGACAGATGAGACTTAGATTTGAGTAGTAAATACATAATATAATATAGAAATGATATATTATAGAATTGTACAGTTGAAATCTATATAATATGCCCTGGCTGGTTTAGGTCAATGGACTGAGAGCTGGCTTGCAAACTGGAAGGTCACAGGTTCAATTCCTAGTCAGGGCACATGCCTGAGTTGCAGACCAAGTCTCCAGTTGGTGGTATGTGAAAGGCAATTGATTGATGTTTAAACAAAAAGAAAGAAATGTATATAATCTTATTAACCAGTGTCACCCCAATAAATTTAATAATTATTTTTAACAGAACAAAGTTGGAGAATTTATAATACATGGTTTCAAGACTTATTATGAAGCTGTAGTAATCAAGTCAGTGTGGTAATAAATAAATATAGACAAGTATCAATAGAACAGAATATAGAGTCCAGAAACAGATTCCAAAAGTAATCAAGGGGGAAAGGATCATCTTTTCTGGAATAAATTGATATCCACATAAAAATATGAGCCTGAACCATTACCTCATACCACATACAAAATTAACTAAATATGGACTATAGAGCTAAACTTAAGGGAGAAAACTTATAGAAGAAAGCACTGAAAAATTTAATTAGTCCTTCTCTCCAGAGGCTATGGACCCACTGCCCTCCAAATACCCCCCTTTCCCTGAAATGGAAGGCCCCTCCTCCACTTCCTTGGTGGTGGAGCCCTGACCCCAACAGCTGGGCTGCCACCTGCTTACTGATACCAACAAGGTCCCCTACATGTACAAGAAGCAGATGGAGGAGGAGCCCCAGGGGTGGCCCCAGCACTAGCCACCCCTCAGAGAGCCTAGTCCTTGCAGGAGCTACAGTTGCCAGCACCCTGCAGCTGTGAAGCCACTGCAGGTCACACTCAGAACTCAAGTCCTTCACATGCGGACTTGAGCACTCCAGCTACCTGTCCCTGCACCATGCTCACAAACCTGCCTGCTCTGCCCACACTGCTTCCATGACACCATGGAGATGGCACAGGACATGTGTCTCCACTAAGTTCAGACCTGGCTCTGGGCCTTGGCATCTGACCCACACAGCAGCATACTCATATTCACTCCCTGACTCTGCTAAAGCTACTGCCTTATAGTGGGCCTCAGTTCACCAATTTACCCAAAGGGAGAAATGTCCTTCCTTCAATCGTTCCCTCCCTTTCTCCTTAACTGTGTGATGTAGATCAGATCCTTGCTCCTCCCTGGGTCCTTGCCCCTCCCTGAGCCAATTGCAACTAGGTTCCAGTCCATCTGTGCCATGTGAGCCTTTGCAAGTGATTTAACATCTCTGAGCCCTGGTTTTCTGATCCAAAGTGCTAAATGGTTGTTCACATAAATATTTGACAAAAAGCATAGCATGACTCCTTTTAATATCTCCCCCTTCTACCCAGTCACCTTACCCTTTATTCAATAAATATTCCACACTATAAAAAAGGAAGGAAGGAAGAAAGGAAGGAGAAGAGGGAGGGAGGGAGGGAGGAAGGACTCAGTGAGTGAGATATGTCTTGGGTTTGGAAAATACTTCTTAAATGTGTCAAAATAAGCAGGATGTATAAAAGAAAAATTAATTAATTAGATTTCACCAAATGTAAAAACTTTAGCTCTTTCAGAAAAAAAGAACTTTTATAGGAAAATGAAAATCCAAAGACTGGAAGAATATATTTGCAAACTTACATCTAACACAAGAAAACATGAATAACTCTATAATGCAAAGATATAAAGCCCAATTTTTAAAACACACAAAAAAACTGAACAGATACTTTCCCAAAGAAGATGTATAGAGAGCAAATAAGCACATTAAAAGACATTCAAAATAATTAGTAGATTAGACAAAGAGGATGAATCAGTGATTTGGAATCTAAGAAAAAAACAATCAGACCAGCAAGAAGGAAAAATAATCTTTAAAAAGGATGGTGTAAGTCTCTGGGACAACTTCAAGTGTATCAATATTTGCATCATGGGGCTGCTGGAAGGTAAGAGAGAGCAAGAAATTGAAAGCATATTTGAAAATATAATGACAGAAAATTTCCCTAACTTGGTAAAGGAAATACACCTACAAATCCAGGAAGTGCAGAGTCCCAAACAAGATAAACCCAAAGAATTCCATACCAAGATACATCATAATTATGATGCCAAAGGTTAAAGACAAATAGAGAAACCTAAAAGCAACAAGAGAAAAGCAGTTAGTTACTTACAAGGGAGTTGGTTTCTTTATAAAAACTTTGCAGACCTGAAGGGATTGGCAGGAAATAGTCAAAGTGGTGGAAAGCAAGGACCTACAACCAAGATTACTCTGCCCTGTGAAACTGTCATTTAGATTGAAGGACAGATAAAGAGCTTCCCAGACAAGAAAAGTTCATTACCACCAAACCAGTATTATATGAAATGTTAAAGGATCTTCTTTAAGAGGATCAAAAATATGAATGAACAATAAAAAGGCAATAAATACACACCTATCAACAGTTAAATCTAGAAGGCAACAAAATGAGTAAGCTGAACAGAAATAGAATCATAGATACAGAGAATGTTTTGATGGTTGCGACATGCAGGAAGATTCAGAGCAATGGGCGAAAAAGGTGAAGGGATTAAGAAGTACAAATTGATTGTTACAGAATAGCCATGGAGATGTAGAGTACAGCATAGGGAATAGTCAATAATAGTTTAATAACTATTTATGGTGTCAGATGGGTGTGAGATTTATTGGGATGATCATTTATTATGTTATGTAATGCCTAATCACTGGGGTGTATGCCTGAAACTAATATAATAATAATATATGCCAACTGTAATTGAAAATAAAAAATGATTAAAAACATATCTGCTATTTCACTAAAATGAACAAAAACAATAATAAAAGTGTTTGTGAGAATGTTGAGCAACTGTAACTGTCTTATACTGATGGTGGGAATGTAAAATGGTACAACCTCTTTGGAAAACACTTTGACAGTTTTTTTGTTTTTTTAGTTAAACATACACCTATCACATGGCCCTGGCTTTCCATTGATAGGTATTTACCTCAGTGAAATGAAAGCATCTGCACATGACTACTTGTATACAAATGGTCATAGGAGATTTATCTATAATAGCCAAATATTGGAAACAACCTTGATATCCACCAATAGGTAACTAGATAAACAAATTGTGATGGATCTGTACAATTTAATACTATTCAGCATTAAACAGAAATAAATGTTTGTTTTATTCAACAACATGGGTAAATCTCAAAATAATTAGGCTAAATTAAAGAAGCTGGCAAAAAAAGTACTAACTGAATCATTCTACTTATATACGTAATCAAATGCAAACTAAGCTATTGTGACAAGAAGCAGATCAACAGTTGCTTAAGAATGAGGGGCACAAGAAAAAATTTCAAAAAGATACAACACATTTGGAAGTGATAGATTTGTTTATTTTCTTGACTGAGGTGATAGTTTTAAAGTTATATGCATATCTCAATTGTACTCATTAAATAAGTGCAGTTTATTTTATGTCAATTATGCCATTAATACCTGTAAAAATTTAATAAAAAGCAGTGGGGTGGGCAAACACATTTATGTCCCATCTTTAAATTCTTTTTGACCACAATGTGTCTTAGAAGGTTTTAAGAAATAGGAAAGAGAATGAGATTACTTACATGAGAAAGTCTGTCTCCCTTTGAATTCTCATGATCTCTGTGCTTGTCAAACCCTTATGGCCAGTTATGTGTGCAAAACCAGGGAACTAAAATTAAGAATATAATATAATCATGGTAAAAGCTGTGGTATAATGAAATTTCATTAAAAATTAATTTTAACTTTTTTTCTTACATTCAGCCTCTGTCATTTCAAAACCATGATTGGGGAAATCCTAAGTAGTGATTACCCCAGTACCCAATGTTAAAAATTAAAATGCTCTTTGTAATCAGATATGTACATTACATTAAAAACATAAGTTTACAAGAGAGGATATCTAAATTTAGCTTTAGACAGACAAGATTTTAGAATCTAGAAACCTAAGTTAGCACACATTTTTCTCAAAGATTATATCCCTAGGAAACTCAAAAGGATTCACCTAAAAGAATAAATGCAGCAACTGTCTACTGTAATCCACAAACATTGAACTCATTTCAACATACTTATTTGAGCATCCACTCTATACCAGGCACTGTGTTTGATGCAAGGAGGGAGAAAAATAAACATTACAGCACATAGCCCCTCCTGTGACTCACAGCCTATCCTGTGCTTGGTTTGATGTGGTCTATATGTCCAAGTGGTAGGAAAATGGGACAGAAAGGAAGTTTTGAGAAGGAATACGAGGGAAGAAGCTAACACTTATGGAGGGTCGGGCAGTATTTTTTTGTAGCTGTTATCTCCCTGACAATTCACAATGACCTTGGGAGGTGGATAATATCTCCATTTTATTTTATTCTTATAACATTTACTTTTTATAATTTCAAACTTACAGAAAAGTTCCAAGGATTGTACAAATAACTTCTGTATAACCAGTTTGAGCAGTCATTCATGTTAACATTTCACCCCAAGTGATTTCATTCTCTCTCTCTCTCTCTCTCTCTCTCTCTCAGGATCATGGAGAATAAGCTACAGCAACAAATCCTCTGTCTCTAAATATTTCAGTGTACATTTCCTATAAACAAGGATGTCCTCTTACACGATTATCAAAACCAAAAAAATTAACAGTGATGTACTATATTATCTAGCTCTGGCTTGTGTGACTAAGTGGATTGAGTGCTGGGCTGCAAACCAAATGATCACCAATTCAATTCCCAGTCATGGCACATGCCTGGGTTGTGGGCAAGGTCCCCAGTAGAGGGTGTGTGAGAGGCAATTACACATTGATGTTTCTCTCCTTCTCTTTCTCCCTCCCTTCCCCTCTCTCTATAAATAAATAAATAAATGAATATATATATATACAAAATCTAACCCACAGATCTTTATTTAAATTTTGATTGTGCAAATGATGTCCTTCACAGCTATATTTTTCTTGCTCTAGGATTAACTCTAGAATCATACTTTCATTTAGTTGTCATCTCTTTTTTGTCTCCTCTAATCTGAAATAATTTCTCAGTCTGTATATCCTTCATGATGTTGACATTTTTTGAAGAGTAACAGGTCAGTTAATTTGTAGAATCCCCTTCACTTTGGTTTTGTCTGAAGTTTCCTTGTGATTGGATTCATTCATGCACTTTGCTACAAATACCAGACAAATGACATGGTATCTATATAATGGTACATATATTCCTCATTTTTGAGATGAAGATGCTACTGAGGCCCAGAAAGTCCAAATCACCTGCCTCAGGCCACATCAACAGTAGCTTCTACAACATGTCTGCAGGCTGAGCTTAGGACTCCAGACTTTATGCTGCAGGCAATGGGGATGGGTCAAAGGGTTTCAGTTGTTTTTGTGTCAGATCCAATATAGCCTAGACTGAAAGTCTCAAAGTGGTGGTCTATTGGCCAAATTTAGCCTGAGTTTGAGTTTTATTTGCCCCAAATATACAATTCGTTTAAAAGTATTTTTTATTGATTATGCTATTAGTTTCCCCAATTTTTCCCCTTTATCCCCCTGCTGTCCTGCACTCCCCAACCTTCCAGCATTCCCACCTCTTAGTTCATGTCAATGGGTTGTACATATAAGTTCTTTGAGTCCTGTTTCTCATACAATTTTTTATCTCTCCCCATTTACCTTATGCCTACTAACCATGCTTCTTTTTCCCTGTACATTTTCCCCCCATTCCTCCCTTTCCCCTCCCCACTGAAATCCCTCCCTGTGATGTCCATTTCTCTGATTCTGTTCCTGTTCTGATTGTTTGCTTAGTTTTTGTTCTCATTGTTTCTCTTTTTTTTTAGGTTCATATATTGATAATTGTGAGTTTGTTGTCATTTTATTATCCATATTTTTTATCTTTTTCTTAGATAAGTACCTTTAACATTTCACATAATAATGGCTTGGTGATGATGAACTCCTTTGACTCAACTTTATCTGGGAAGCACTTTATCTGCCCTTCCACTCTAAATGAAAGCTTTGCTGGATAGAGTAATTTTGGATGTAGGTCCTTGCCTTTCATGACTTCAAATACTTCTTTCCAGCCCCATCTTGCCTGCTAGGTTTCTTTTGAGAAATCAGCTGATAGCCTTATGGGAACTCCTTTGTAGGTAACTGTCTTGTTTCCTCTTGCTGCTTCTAAGATTCTTTCCTCTTTAATTTTGGGTAACTTAATGATGACATGCCTTGGTGTGTTCTTCTTTGGGTCCAACTTCTTTGGGACTCTCTGGGCTTCCTGGAATTCCTGGAAGTCTATTTCCTTTGCTAGATTGGAGAACTTTTCCTTCATTTATTTGTTCAAATAAGTTTTCAATTTCTTGCTGTTGTTCTCCTCCCTCTGGCATCTCTATAATTTGGACATTGGAATGTTTCAGGCTGTCCCAGAGGTTTGTAAGTGTCTCTTCACTTTTTTGAATTCTTATTTCTTCATTCTGTTCTGGTTGGATGTTTATTTTTCCCTTTTGTTCCAAATCATTGCTTTGAGTCCTGGTTTCCTTCCTGTCACTGTTGGTTTCCTGAATATTTTGCTTTATTTCATTTTGGGTATCTTTCATTTGCTTTTTCATTTTTCACCCAAGCTCAATCAGTTCTGTAATTATTTTGATTGCCAGGGCTTTAAATTCTCTATCAGATAAGGTTGGCTATCTCCTCATTGCTTAGTTCTCTTTCTGAGGTTTTGCTCTGTTCTTTCATTTGGGCCATATTTCTTTGTCTTGGTGCACCTGATACATTGTAAGGGGGCAGGGCCTTAGGTATTCACCCGGGTGGGACAACCCTCTTTGCTGTGCTGTAGCACTGTCTATGGGGGAGGGGCCAGAGGGGGAACAATGCAGCTCTCCTGCTCCTCTGTAGAGCACTTTTCAACAAACTCTTGTGTGAGACTGGGAGTTTCTCCCACTGCAACAACCACTGTAGTCCACAGTCAACTCAGAGTCTCAATTTCCCATTCAGTCAGCCCCACCCGCAGTCTGGTGCCTCACTGCAGAATCTTACTGGTCTGGTTATTTTGGTTGACTTTTTTTTAATTTCTTGGTTGTTGGAGTTCCATGCAGTTTGATTTTCTCATACATGTGGTGGTTTATTGATTTTAGATTGGTTGTTATCTTTTTGTTTTTAAGAGGAAGTGAAGTGTTTCTAACTACACCTCCATCTGGGCCAGAACTCCCACAAATTCTTTTTTTACACAAACTTTTAAGTAATTGATAACATTTAAAATTAGATTATAACATAAGACGCAGGTTTCTAGCTTCTCTTGCAAATTCCTCAGAGGTGGAAAGACTGAACGTATCCAGGGGTGTCTAACCTGCAACCCTCAGGCCACATGCAGCTCTGGATGGCTATGGATGTGGCCCAACACACAATTGTAAATGTACTTACAACATTATGAGATTTTTTTGTGATTATGTGTCACAAAGTATTTCATGTATAGCCCAAGAGAACAAATCTTCCAGTATGGTGTAGAGACATCAAAAGGTTGAACACCCTCACAGGCCTTCTTAAAAGTTGGCTGGAGCTGAGTAGAAATAACCCCTTTAGCTGGCAGGGGGCATTCCACCTGGCCAGAGAACCCCCAAACTTGTGCTCTGACACTAAAGCTAGGTGTCAGCTGTTATTTATGTTCCATACAGGCTGTCTCATGCATTTGCTCTGCTGCCTGGCCCCTGATAATGTCCCCAGACCTTAGCTCAGAGACATCTTGTCTCCATGGTGGTTATTGACATGTCATAATACCCACCAGCATCATTAATTCTGATGTTTGCTGAAGTACGCTTTGGGTGAGATTGAGCTGGAATATTGAGAAGAATCTCTTATCAACATGAAGAAAAAAGGGGGAAGATAAACATTTTTTGGTCTTTTACAACTTCTTTGGCTCTCTGAACTCTAGTCAAATTCCCTAAACTTGTCCTCATCTTCTCCTTTTTTTAGAATTCTGAATCTTGACATCTTTACATAATGTTTTACTCTATCTTTCCCTTGGGAAAAAACAATTCTTAAATAACTAGGAGAACAAGGTTATACAAATATCCTTGCACAGAGAAAACAATTCTTTTTAAACATGTTAGAGATAAGTAAGGACAAGTAAGGTTGTTTTTCTGAAAATAGTTATGATTGTGTTTTGTCATATACCATTCATTTTTCAAAACGATACTTTTTAAATCTCAGAAGCAGTTTCTTATTTGAGCAATACCCACAAGCACTGCTCATAAGAGTTTTATGTGCTCAGTGGTCTGTTTGGTAACCAGGCAATCATTCTTTCCATGAGACTGAAAAAGGTAATATTCTCTTATAGGGATGGTTGTCCTTTTGCTTAGTGGAGTTTGAAAGCAAACCTAACTAAGTGTGTGGTCCTCTGGCCTGGGCTTTGTGATCCTCCAGGAAATACAGGGAGTGGGCCAATGACAGAAATCAGGAGGTTAGGCTGAGTTGCACCATGGCATTATAGATTGGAAGTGGAGGAAAGAGCTTGATTTCAAGATAAGGACAGTTAGCCCTCTAACTGATCCTTATCCTGATCCTTGATCATCAAAGTCCTCCATGGAATCCATCCAGGCTTATGAAATCAGATTATCTAGGAGGATTTCAGGAGGGGTAGCTGGGAATCCATCCATCTATCTATCTATCTATCTATCTATCTATCTATCTATCTATCTATCTAGTTCCCCCCAGATTATTGTAAT